ATGTAGCAAGACACTGTCTTTAAGGAAAAAAAAAAAAAGTTGATTACTACATGTCCTACTTTTTCAAGCCACAGAATTGTGGAATTTTCTATCTTAAAAGGGATCTAAAATGTCATAAATGTTCCTTTGTTTTAGGGATAAGAGAACTTAGGTCCTGACAGGATAAATAACTCTCCTATAGTTACACAACTCATTAACAGAAATTATGATCTAAAAATGAACTGGTGAACAAGTCTGTGAACCAAGTCTAAAACACATATCATTACCAAGAGCTCTTATTGAATTGTGGGGTTCAGTTGTTCAATGTAACCAAGCATGCATTTTTCTCCATTATATCCACATATACTGTGTTACCTTGACACAGTCTAACAGACCTTAAGCACTATCAGACAGGAAGTACAGTTGCCTTGGAATGACTTGTTTCTAGTGAACTCTACTGGTCCCTTATAACAAACTACATTTATTTCCAAATAATTGATAAAAATATTTGTATTTAATATTTTCTAATTTGTGATTTTTACAATCATTTTGAAAAATTCAAATGTTTTCCAAATTCCATTCTTTTGACATGTCTTTTTACTTAATAAAACAAAATGAGTAATGTATTTAAACACAAACCTAACTAACCATTTGAAATTTTATGATGTGCCCGAATAACAATGTGTCAACCTATTAAGGAAATCGGGGAGAAAAACCTTTTATTTTAACACTAGATTATGATGCAAATATGTAACTTTGAATGCTTTTATTGGAAAAAAGAGAAAATGAATAATGAATGAGGGAGTGAATGAATGAACAAACCAAGTCCTTGGAGAACACAAGGAAAAAAAAATAACAAGAAAAATATAAATTAGAATACTGAGAAAAAATAATTTATTTATTTTTTTTTTTGGATTTTTTTTTCTATTTTATTTCTATACTTTATCTTTTTTTTTTAAATTTTTTATTGTTGGCTGTTCAAAACATTACATAGTTCTTGATATATCATATTTCACAATTTGATTCAAGTGGGTTATGAGCTCCCATTTTTACCCCATATACAGATTGCAGAATCACATCAGTTACACATCCATTGATTTACATATTGCCATACTAGTGTCTGTTGTATTCTGCTGCCTTTTCTATCCTCTACTATCCCCCCTCCCCTCCCCTCCCCTCCTCTCCCCTCCCCTCTTCTCTCTCTGCCCCCTCTACTGACATTCGTTTGTCCCCCTTATATTATTGAGAAAAAATAATTTAAAATAAGCTGAAAACTGATTATTTGACAAAAATACAGATAAGCACCTAACAAAATTGTATTACAGAAAGTGAAATAAATATTGGCTATATAATATATCTAAAAAATAAGTCTATAAGTAGAAAGGAGATAAACCAGGATGATGTCAAGATTTGGATAACAGGAGATAAGAGGTTGTGGCAAGATGATAATTTTTTTTTAAGTTTCAGAGATTTTAAAAGTTAAAACAGGTCATGACTCTGGCATTTACAAAGATACTAGAGACATGAGAGTCATGTGAGTTGAGTGAGGGTCAGAAAGCTACACTATATGAAACTAAGAGGGTAGTGAGAGGCTGGGAAGAGGAAGCCTCTTTTCATAGTATCATAGTGTTCCATTTTCATAGATTCAGAAACTGAACAAAAAGAGCCCAACAATGAAGTTAATTTCGAGCTGGGGTATGGTACAGGTATTTTGAAGAGATTCTTGGGTCTTCAGAAAATGCCTCTGTTGCTATTGACTTGACCTGCTAAATGAGGTGGCGCCAAAACTAAGTTCTTGGTATAATTTTAAAACAATTGCTTCTATGTTGCGCTGTTTTTAATAACAGTAAGTAAACAATAGTAATGAAAGATCTGATTACACAGAATGACTCAACAGATTCAATACTTAATGTCTTGTTAACTCCAAGTTCCCCTGACTATTTGCACCACTATATATTGCACTCTGTCTTTAATCCAGTCTAATCCCTACTGTCCCATCAAATCATCAACAACTGCATTAATTATCACATGATTTAATGGTACACATCACAGACACAGTACTTGTTGGAAGTTGTTCAGTATTTTATGTGAAGAATACTTCTACTTGTATTTCAGATCTAAATTAGTTAACTTTGACATTAAAAACTTGCATGAAAAAAGAAACCATTGACAGCATACTTTCCCTAGAAGTACACAATTTTCAGATTTTTTATATCTAGAAAATACAGAGTAACCTTTAATGGTCATTTTGAAAAGAAAACTGCTTCTGGAAGCTCTGGGTATTGGATAAGGGGGAGAAGAGTTAAAAACAACAACAGAAAAATGTTCAAAAAAAGGAAAACAGCGCTCATCTCCTTCTAAGAGCTATTCAGATGAAAAATTACTTGGTATGAGCTTGATCTATATGTTTTTCCATGGTTATTAGTAGTAATGAAGATGCATTAACCATATTCTCTTGATAATGCTCTAGCTGTTTCTTAGTACTTTTATCAACATATAAATTTTACAACTGGCAATATGGGAATTTGACTAGTACATTTTTGTTTATAAAAAAGGGTAACAACATTATAATTTCTTCATATCTGTGAATTATGAATCTTGACTTGCAAACAAGTAAAACTGAAATGCAACAGAACTGCAGTATCTTGAGAGCTCCTCTTTCTACTACCACTCACAAAAAATGGGAGTACATAATGCCAGGTGAATGCCTACTTAATCTAGAATTTATGTGTTCTTTTTATTTTGTTCATTCTTTTTTCTCAGGAAACATGTATTGAGAGCTTTCCCTGTTGCCAATCTGGAGTATCTGTAAATTGACAGTGGTCTACTTCATTAGGAAGCAACCAAAAACTAGAAAATAAGTGGTGCCTAAGCAATGTGTATCCTTATCTCTATAAGGAAGCATTATTTTTCATAGTTTTCAGAAGGCCATTAAATAACTCAATTCTCTAAAGATGAAACGTAGTACAAAAAGAAACCATTTTAGTTTTCCGCAATTCATTGAGTTATAAATGAATAGATTTTTTTATTCAGAAAGCTGAATCCCAAGTTTTAAATTTGATTTCTCCTATCTCCAAAGTAGTGTAAGCCTCCAGTACCTAGCCCATAACATTAACTAATACCATTAGAGAAAACTTACGGTTCTCTTTGTTGTGAATATATGGATCCATTCAGATCCAGAGTGATATGTAGTCATGTTCAGGATATAGCTGACATATAAAAAAGTAGAATTACTATATGTGTGCTGCCAGATATATCTGAGAGAAGGAAATGATAGTAAAATTCAACTTTAACTGAAATAACATGGATTGTTTTGCACTTTTATGAAAAGAAAAGACATTTCTATTAATGACTTGAGCAGTAAAAATATAAACTTTTGCTGAGCACAGTGGTACACATCTATAATCCAGCTACTTAGGAGGCAGAGGCAAGAGACTCTCAAGTTTCAGCAACTTGACCCGTCTCAAAAAATAGAAAGGGCTGGAGTTGGAGTTCAGTGGTAGAATGTCCTTGGTTCAATTCCTAGTACTGGGGTGGGGTGTAGGAAGTGGAGGGTGTATTGTCATGAAGTTGGGCTACTTCCTACAACTAAAATAATTTGTAATCATAACTAGTCTTCAAGAGTATTACTATGAGGCATACTGCAAGATCATGAATCAATGGAGAAGTAATTGTTCATTTAATAATTATTTGTTCAGTGCCTTCTATTTGCCAGATAGTTATAACACAGATGCTGGCAAACCATAGGACCCAAGAAAGTAAGGTGGAGGAGAGTGGTTAGGAAGTTGGTAGCTGCTGAGTGGTAGAGTAAAACAAGAATGAATCTTCAAATCTGCAATACAGAAGTTATTGGTGACCTTGAATGATTTTAGGAAGGTAGCAAAGAGGCCACCACAAAAGCTTAATGGACCAAAGACTTCAGAAGTAGCATATGAAGGTACCTTGAAAAAACATAGAGAAAGAAATGGGATGGTAACTGGATAGGAATGGGGCATGAAAGGAGAAATTGTATACACCCATACACACTCACTATGGTGGCTTCTAATGGAAATAATAGAGTAGAGAAGGGGAAATGATGGTACAGGACAGGAGGCTGTGGAGTAACAATATTAAAAGAGGAGAGGAGATGGAATTCAGCACAAATGGAGAAGTTGCAAAGAACAGAGACTTTTCTTCCTCTGTTACAGGAAAGATTTCAACCGTGGGTAGATGCAGCTACCATTTAACAAACACTTACAGCACCTACAGTGTTCTAGGCCGTGGCAATATAGAAGTATTAACAAAGACAAAAATCTTTGCTCTCGCAAAACTTAGATTTAATTGGGGGTTGGAGGAGGTAGACAAATGATAGCAAAATAAATACATAGTATGTCAGATAAGGAAAAGTGCTGTCAAAAAAATAAATAAACCAGAGAAGTGAAGTTACAGGATATGGAATGCTGGGACAGGTGGGTAATTGCAGTTTTAAAGAACTAGACACTTGGCATAACTTTTATGAATTTACTTCATGACGCTCAGAAACATTTGTTTTCAAAATCAGATTAAATGTGGCCTGTTACCCATGTGCCTAGATTTGTGGGATATCCACTCTTAGGCTTATTTCACAGGTGCCCCCTTTTGTAAGCACCCCAGGACATGCCAAGCCCTGCACCTCTCTTTTCTAGTGCGTAGTACAGGTTTCAAATATATACTTATTTATGTGATTTTATTAATATATTTCTTTTCTACTAGACTAGAAGCTGTATCCTCAAAACCTAATAGTGTTGGCATACAATAAGCCCTATTTGTTGAGTGAATAATGAATGAAAAGTAGTAAGATTGTTTGACATAAGCAATGTTTTTAAGAATCTCAGTGTTTCATTATTCTATGATCACTTTAAGTTTTTACTTCTTACTTTATGTAGCTCATCTAGTAAATGGTCTTTTTCAAAGCAAGGCAAGTTATGTTTTCATACCAACAGTATAGGTAAAATAAAGTCATCCTCTAATTTATATCACTTTGCTTCATTTTTCTTTTTCAGGACCAATGCCAAAGGTGCTCCCCTGAATATAAATAAAGTTTCTAATAGCCTGATTAATTTTGGAAGAAAGCTGATTTCCCCAGCAATGGCCCCAGGCAGTACAGGTGGTCCTGTACCTGGGAGTAACAGTGGCAACTCCTCCTCTGCTGCTTTCCCCACCAGGACCTCAGCAGAAGCCTTGAGGCATCATTTGCAACCACAGCAGCAGCAGCAGCAGCAGCGGCTGATGAAATCCGAAAGCATGCCAGTGCAATTGAACAAAGGTAGGAAAAAATTACTAGTAAATCCACAGAAAATACAGGGTAGCCTGGGTTTTCCTCACCAGCCTATGAGGAATCAACCTCCCAGAAGGCGAGAGTAATGCAAAACACTTATTTTTTTTAAATCTGTTGCATTTTATCTTTTTCAAGCTGAAATATCTGATACTCTATTTTTCTTAATTGAGAACATTTTATCAGGTAATTTACTAAGATTTTTTTAAACTTGTATATCCTAGTGTACTTGCATTTTTGGCCTGTGGATCCCCATACTATGTGATGGTATGAAATGTCACAAGACAGGACTTTAAATAAGTTGACTGTGTTCTCTGCAACTTTATATAGTAATGCTGGCAAAGAGAGTAATGCTGTCTTTCAGAAGAGAGTCTGAAATGAGAAGGTCTAAAACCTTTTCCAGTCATAGCATTGATCAGTGCATTGCAATGGTTTGGAGGAAGCAGTCCACTCAGCTTCTTGCTTCTCATGTAGCAGCTTCACCTCTAAAGAATAAAAACTAGAATCTTAAGGGAAAAAAAAATCTAAACAAAATCTCATGTAACCAAGATAAGCATTTGAATCCATGAACCAAATGTTAGCACCATGGGCTGTAAGAGCAGAGGAAAGCTGGGAGACCATCCAGCCCACAACTCCCATTTGATGAGTGAAGGCTTTATGTGCTACTGGCTCTCAACTAAGCTTGCTTCTGTTTCAGGGCCTTTTCTCAGAGCTCCACCTGCCTCTTGCACTTTACTCCTAAGAGATCCCTTCAGGGTCTTTCTTGGGATCTTTATATTCTTGTTTTCTACTTATTTTTAAAGAGATATGTTAGGATCCTGTATTTGTAGCAGATTAGAAACAGCTACCTTTATTTTTAGTGGTGGAACTCTGCTAAAACTATAATACAAAAATAGTGAAATCATGGCAGAAAATATACCAAAAAATTAATTCTAAGACCTGAGAAAGTATAACAGTCTGGAGCCATCTAGTGTCAGAAAAAACGCCTTGACCCAAGCCCCATTCATGTCGTAAAAGGGATGCCAGGGCTACATCAGTGTTCAGTACTTAGTGTTGACAGTAAAAGGAGGAATATTGTCAGTACAAGACCTTGAATTCTGTTCTATCTACTCTGTTTAAGATTACATTTGAAATTATTAAAAATTTTACATATTGGCATTTAAGTTGGAACACTAAAGTTAAATAGACTTTATTCCCCAGTGATGCAAATTAATGAATGTATTAATACTCACATATGGGCATGCTTATCTGTATTCATCCATGGCTTATACGATGTTATCTGTCTTTTTTATGTGTCTTTGCCTATATGAAACATTAGACTTTATATAATTAGTATTTACACTTTTTGTTAGCACATTCAGTTTACCTTACATGAGATTATCTCATTTAAAATTGCACTCTTTTAATGTAGAGCTGTCACACATGATTTAAATAAAAAGGGACTTTGAATCATGTTATAGATGTATTTAATGCCAGGAGATGTGCCCACTTCCAGAATGGAAATGAATGTTATTTTATATATGGAAATGAATGTTATTTTGTATATTTCTTAATTGTACATTTTATTGTTCTAAACAAATATGATTTCAATATTGCTTTGATAACAAGCTTTAGTCAGTTGTAATTCTAACTGATGGCAGGCAAATGAGTCAGAGAATCTGTTAATGCTGTAGCTTAAATTTTCTGAGGAACCAAGCCAAATGATTATAGAAATATAAAGTTGTGTCTCTAAGGAAATGTCAAGTATTAATATCACCGTAAGTGAGAAAGGAAGTGCATGGAGATGGAACAATTGGTGAAAACCAATCCCCAGTTATGAAGAGAAAACAGAGCACTTAAACAAAGTATTTGGAACACGAGTATCACTGGGGCATTTTGTAACTGATCCCTGTCCTGAAAGAAACTGGCTTTATTTTAACTCTTCCATATTTTTACTTATGGTTCATTCTTCTCATGTCATTCTACCAAAAAAGCTTATCTGCCTTCATATTAAATACAAATAAGTATTCCTGCTAATTCTCCTCCCTGCATAAAGGTTTGAATAAAATAAAGGATAAAAAGACAGTTTATAGAAGTACAAAAGTGTACTTGGATGTTGCTCCTGACTTCACTCCTGGAGAACCCTAGACTACAATGGAAGCCCTCTGTTTCCTCATCCTGAAGCAAGGTTTGGACTGATTCCTAGGAGTCCCCCAGCTCTAAAAATTTGTGGTTCTTTTAGTGAAAAATGTATTTGTTAACTCTACAATGAAAATACTTCAATATTAATTCTTTATGCTGATAAGTCCCACAAATATTCTTCTATGCTGTCTCTCTGACACATCTGCAAGTGTATCACCTGAAATCAGTGAACACAGTAGCCTGCCAGGAGGCTTGTGTTAGGGGATGATTTCTGACTTTCTAGAGCAAAGTTGTCTACTCAGTGCCCTTGAGAGAAGATAATTTAGTGTACTATCCTGGAAATTTTGAAAATTGTTTTGAAAAATTATTGTTTATAAAGATGAAAATGGTTTTGTTTTTCATAAGTTAACAAATACTTGTGGTTATAGGGGGGACAGTTGTGTTTGTAATCCAAATTCACACGTGTTGTTTGAAATGCATTATGTAATACATGTATGTGTTGTGATAGAATAGTGAGGAAAGAAGAGTTAGCACAGATGTTCTCCATAATTTTATTAGTGATATGAGTTTTCAACCTCTACATATAGATCAATAGATGATCTAGAATTAGCCAACTAAATCTCCTCCAAGTATACAGAAAGCAGACCTACCATTGTTCAGTGAATTTAGAATTAACTATATTATGAAAATTCAGGACCTGACCATTTCCACTAGAAGCTGTTTGCCACAGTTTGGGGTATATTCTTTTTTAGAAATTTTATTTCAGTTATAGGGGAATGTAAGTGTGTGTACTGTTAATTACTTGGTGATGATAATATAATTACAACCCAACAATTTCCAGATGAATTGACTATGTTGTAAATCATAATTGCAGCAAGAAGCCAGTGACACTGAGGGCATGTTACTTAATTCAAAATTTGATTTTTTACCTACTGTATATATTTTATATAAAAGCTGAAGGAGAAGCAAGTCCATTAATCATAAATTATCATACATGGAAAATATATGCCTTTTTAAAAGTCTCTGTTGCTCATTAATCTCAAAATACCATAGGTGATGATATATCCAGAGGAGCATTCTGTTGACAGTGACTGTGCTCCTTATTGAACTTTGTTATCCAGGAAGGAAATCAAAGAACCACAGAGTCTTCCTTCTAAATATTAGTGAACCTTAGGTTCTTCACAGAATTTTCTGTTGGTGCTCCCTTTCCTTTCTTTTGTGTGTTCTTAAAATGCCCTCTTTTTTTCTTTTCCTTCCTCTTTCCTTTGTCTGTATTTGCACTTGGTTTTTTGAATTTGAGCACTACTTTATTTTAAGCATTTACTACAGGTCCAATTTGTAAATGAAATCTTGCCTATAATTATATCAAGTGAAGGGTATGCAGTTCACAGATTTATTTTTAAACATTGACATTTGTAAGTACATGTGGCAACTCTTCATTACCTAATATGAAGTTAGAACTTATTTAGACTTTATCACTGAAGAAGTTGTTTTCAAGTTAAGTTAAAAATAAATTTTGTCTGATATAGAAAGAAATCAATTTCAAAAAAAAAAGGTCTGTGAATAAATGACATATAAACTTTAATATTCAAAGTTTTTTTAAAAAAAGAATGTATATATAATCACAATGAACTCTGCGTAGCAAAATCTTTTGATTGTGAAAGTTTCCTGTATTATAGTCTATTATAATAGACTTTTTCACTTTTCTTTTGGGAAATACAAACAAAAACTTATTAGGAAACACTCTTTTAAAAATTTGTTTCCTGCCGGGCATGGTGACACATGCCTGTAATTCCAACAATTTGGGAGCTAAGGCAGGAGGATCCAGAGTTCAAAGCCAGCCTCAGCAACTTAATGAGGCCTGAGCAATTCAGCGAGACCCTGTCTCTAAATAAAATATTTTTCTTAGAAAGGACTGGTGATGTGGCTCAATGGTTAAGTGCCCCTGGGTTCAATCCCTGGTACCAAAACAAAACAAAAAAATGTATTTCCTTAAACTGGGCATGGTTGGTGCACACCCTGATTCCAGCTACTCTGGAAGCTGATGCAGGAGGGTTCTGAGTTCAGGACCTCTCTGGGCAACTTAGTTAAATCCTGTCTCAAGATAAAAATAAAAAAACACTGGAATGAATCACAGTGAAAAAGCACTCTTGGGTTTAGTCCCTAGTACTATTTTTTCCTTGAAAATATTTTATATTAATTTTTCTAAGCTTGTGCTATATTTTTAGTAATTGATAAAATATTACAACATTGAGTATGAAAGAAAAGTTTCTTATTTCTTCTCTATGGAATCTAATTATTTTTTCTTATGAAATCCAGGCGATATAGTTACAGGAAGCGATGCTCAGGTTTCTGTTCCTGTCCAGACTCTAACTGACCTCCAAGGTACAGTTACCATAGCAACATTTTGTGTGTGTGTGTCTGTCTGTGTCTATCTCTCTCTCTCTCCCTCTCTCCCTCTCTCTCTCTCTCTCTCTCTCTCTCTCTCTCTCTCTCCCCCTCTCTCCCCCTCTCTCCCCCTCTCTGTCTCCCTTCCTCCCCCTACAGTATTATCATTCCCTACTCCAAAACTCAGTTTTTCCCCTGTCCACAGTTCGTTCATGTTTATTGGTCCACTACCATTGTTTAACCACTGAGTGGCACTGTTGTGTAGAACAAAAGTCCCCTTTCCTGTCCCATAGCTTGTTGATGTTGAAACAGACTCTGATGTGAGTTTTCTATTGAAGTGTACACAAGCCTCTTTATTTGAAAAATATGATTCCATCTGTATGTTTTGGTTATTTTAACATTATACTTTGTAGAGAAGCTGATATCAAGGTGTTCTTATTGCTGCAAAGGTACTTGGTGACAGTATTTGACAAACTAGTTTTGAGATGTTCTATGATTAGCCTGAGATACTTACATTTTACATAAAAGAATTACAACGTGTTTTTGTAAATGTTTTTAAGTATAGCCTTTATATAATGAATTGTATTAACACAAAATATGGTATGGCAAATTTTTTTATATACACTACTTAGCAACAGTTTAACATAAAAAAAGAGAACATTTGCCATCATATCCGTTTGTGCAATATGAAGAAAAAACAGTTGAAGAAATAAATGAAATTGGTAATCCCATTTTCAGCACTTCCTGTTAGATTTTAAAACATAAAAATATTTAAGGTTGCTGCATTAATCTTTTATTATGTAGTCTTGTAGATGAAATATGTCATAGAGAGGGTTTCTTTGTTAAGTGGATACCTATACTAACTAAAAGAATCTTCCCTTCAAATTCAGACTAAGATAATAGCAATACAGTATTAATAGTCTTATGTTTTGCTTAATTTAAAACATTCACATAAGATAGTCATGCTAATAGTATTAAAATACTGTTCTGATAGTGATATGTCCGCATAATATCCATTTTAATAAATTAACAGCAAAGAATGGATTGGGATTAAGAAATAATTGATGTATTGGCTTGGATTTTAAAAAACTATACTGTGGCAATAAAACAGTATGCTTTCACTTCTATATATAGTTCTCTGATTGACAGATAGTTTCTGGCTGTATTTTGGTAATTGAACCAGATGACCTTTAAGAGCTAGCTCAGGGATTCCATGAAGAGCTGTTGACTCTTCTTGGTGTCTGCTAAAGTGAATTTTTTTTATAATGTAAAATTTTTTATTTATATGACAGCAGAATGCATTACAAGTTTTATTACAAATATAGAGCACTATTTTTCATATATCTTGGTATATATAGTATATTCACACCAATTCATGTCTTCATACATGTACTTTGGATAGTAATGTCCATCATATTCCACCATCATTAATTACTCCATGCCCCCTCCCTTCCCCTCAAATGCCTCTGCCCTATCTAGAGTTCATCTATTCTTCCCATGCTTCTGCTCCCTATCCCATTATGAATCAACCTCCTTATATCAAAGAAAACATTCAGCATTTGGTTTTTTGGGATTGGCTATCTGCTAAAGTGATCTTGATGATAAAAGGTTATGATGATAAAAGGTTACTAGCATGGACAGTAGAAAAGAGAGATAATGTCCATATGATTTATCTTTAGCCTTGTCAATTATGGTTCTTAGGTAGATATTAATTTGATCATCTGATATGGAGAAAATTCACAGGAGTTAAATTCATTTCCTAAAATTAAATTCTGAACCCCCAAAGACAACTTTTTTATCATGTGTTTTATTATCCCACAGTTAATTGCTACAGAGAAGGTTTTTGGTTTCTCTACAAGATGTGGGCTTTGAAGTCAGTTTATACCTGTGGACAGAGGAAGCTGAGGGTTGGCTTGCTTATTCTGATTTCTGCTTCTATGCTATTGTTCATTTCATTTTTTCCTGCAGACCAGAGCCACATGAGCAATATTATGTTTCAAAAACAATATATTGAAGAAGAATTTTATATCATTTTGTTCAAATAACTTGTGTTATATAAGTAGAATCATTTCATGCATATATCCAACAAGTATTTTCTAAGTACCTACTACATGCCAAGCTCTGTTTTCATTAGCCCCTTGGCTTCCTACAGCTTCAACCAGCTGTCTTGGGCTATTACCTTTGCTTTAGATGACCCCCGTCAAGCCTATAGGCAAAAACCATCTCTTTTTTGCTGAATACGTGTTCCCAATCCCCTCTGCCTGCACACTCTGACAGAGATCATATCAGCATGATAGGGACAATTCCAGCTACTTTATGAGTCCCAAATAAAGAGTTCTCAATCTGTGATGATGAGTGACAGAACTGAGAGAGTGAGGTGACACCCATCCTGATTTGGATGCATATTTCCTTATGCTCGATATACTTCCTGAAGAGTGCCAAAAAGTGAGAGGAAATAGAAACCAAAACAGTTTATGGCCCCAACAAAAATCAACTATCTATACTGAATAGCATCAATAATATTAAAAGTTGGAAAATTTCATCAGGAATGCCAAACCTGTTACATAGTCCCTTATGTGTAGAGTAGATACTTTACTATAATTTCAGGGAAATTTAGCCTAAATAATAGGCTTTCCCAAACTGTCTTTTTTCAAAGTAATAAAATAAATTTGAAGAAATAAGTATCAATACTTATCAGAGGTTCTTTGATTGTAGTCTTTTTTTTTCTTTTTTCTTTTTTTTCTTTTTTTTTTTTGGCAGGGTGGGGGGTAGTTTACCAGGGATTGAACTCAGGGCACTTGACCTCTGAGCCACATCTCTAGCCCTATTTTGTGTTTTACTAGAGACAGGGTCTCACTGAGTTGCTTAGTAACTTGCTTCCTAAATTGCTGAGGCTGGCTTTGAACTTGCAATCCTCTGGCCTCTGCCTCACAAGCCACTGGGATTACAAGCATGCACCATCACGCCTGGTCTGATTATAGTCTTAATGAAATTTGATATTGGGACCTTTGCCTTTTAATATACAATGGTTATTGGGTTATAATTTTTTAGGGAAAAAATGTAAAGTGAGATTTCACAGTGTAGGTCAATAAGTAATTTTTAGAAAAGTATTGGAAAATTTCATTTTATATCCTGAAATGTAAGTTATAGTTACACACACGCACGCACGCGCGCGCACAACCATGACAGAATTTGTTTTTTTGATACTAACTACTTGGGGTTTTATTAAAATTAGTTTAAATTTCTTAAGTAATTACCATAGCAATGTTATATTTTTTAAAAAATTTTTGAATTTATACTTATATGTATGTATTTATCTTATGGGTGTGATGCACAGAGAGGTATCAATAGTACTTGTCACGTTGCTTTTAATACAAAAAAGGGGGAAAGGGTTGGGGTTGTGGCTCAGCGGTAGAGCACTCGCCTAGAGCGTGCGAGGCGCTGGGTTTGATCCTCAGCATCAGATAAAAATAAATAAATAAAATAAAAGTATTGTGTCCAACTACAACTAAAAAAATGTGGGAGGTGGGGGGGTCAGTCTCCCTCTCCAGGTAACCACTGTTGATATTCTTAAGGTAAAACTAAAAATGCATACAACATTAAGCAAGCCCAATTAATTGAAGATATTAAAGAAGGGGAAGGAAGGGCCCTCCACTTTCTCCTCTTACCTCTTTCTGCCAGCCCACTTCCCCAAGGGTAACCATTGCTAAGTTTCTTATGATTCCTTCCAGTGGGGGGCGGTGACTGAAATTGAGGAGTAACATGGGAGTCACATTAATTTGGTAAGAGCTCACTGGCCTGAATATGACTTCCCCTTTGGTAAGATCTCACTTGCCTGAATATGACTTCCCCTTTGGACTATCAAGATAAAATGTAATAGAAATGTTCCAGTATAGATAATAAGCAGAAATTTGATAGGACAAGAAAAGGGAGGCCAAGTCAACAGGAATAGGACACAGTAAGACAAGAAAGAGACAGTTCTGTTCACAGGAGTGAAGGAAGAGACCAGCAACAGCAACAGCAACGTTCCTTCTGGGAGACACTCTGCTAGCTACTCTGATAGGTATGACAAGTAATGGTCCTGAAGCAGAACATATGGTTCCATTGTGTTTGGTATAATCACTTTAAGGCAGAGGAATGTGTTATATGTAAAATGACTTCTGGGAAGCATGAATTAGCTAGAAAATGCATTTTTATGGAATATCTATTCCAAATACATGGAATAGTGAGTTGCTTTTGGACTGAGAACAAGGTCAGAATTTGGTCTGTACTTTCAAAAGTCCTCATTCCATTCTTTAATTTTAGATCATATTTGCCACAGCCCACTTGGCACTGTCCTTTCTAGGGTAGTGTAGCTTTGTCTAGGATGGGTTTGAGTTTGAATCCTGGCTCCATCACTGCCTTGTCAAGCATCCTGGGAAGGTTGCTTAACCTCTTATTGGTAAAGAGGGAATAAGAGCAACTACTTAAGGTTTGTTGCGGGACCTTATTCCCAGCACTTGTCCCATAATAAGGGTTCTAGGCTGCTACCTGCTTAGGTAGTAGGTGTAATGGTAGCACCATTATGTGTTTTATGTTTTCTCTGGTTTGGGGAATTAAATTATGAAGGAACCCAACCAACACCTCTGTCTTTTCTTAATTATTGTTTCTGGTATTCTAAAAATATGTGTTTGCTTATGAGTCCCCTTAATTTTAGAAAATATCCAAGGAAACTAAAAATTTTTTAAGATTTGTTAGATATAATTACATCATTTTGGAAGAAAATGGAAAAAAAAATTATGATAGTTCACAAAATTGAAACTTTTGCCAAGGGTAAACAAAATTTAAATGAATCTACCTGGAATTTTAGATTAACTCAGTACTTGAACTATAATGTCAAATATTGAGAGTCTAGAGATCATGAGTAGAGTACAGTAGTCAAAGGAGTAATGAAGAGAATTTCCCAGAGCTGAAGGAAGATATTGGCATGGAGTTAAAAAAAAAAAAAAAAATCTGACAAGTAAGATAAAAGTTAAAAAGACCCTTCTCTAGGAGCTCCACAGAAAACTTATAGAACTTCAGGATGAGGAGAAGACTTAAGGTTTCCAGAGAGAACCAAAAAGAGTCTTGTTTCCAAGACAACATCAGATAGACATCAAATTTCTCTTCAGCAAAGCTGAGGGCCTGGAGACATTTGAGTTTATTTCCAAAGTGTTGCAAGAAAATTGTCTTGAGCTAGAATCTTATTTTCAGCCAAACTAGCATTCAAACAGGAATACAAAGCAGACATCTTGGGGACCTGAAAGAATTCAGGTCTACCAACAAACCAAATTCCCACCTGCCCCCACATAATTACTTTATACACATATCCCACCACTATAAATGTAAAATTGTTATTCTAACTCTTTAATTAATAAATAAATCAAAAACAAAAATTTCAAATGTTTTAGAAGTCAGTGGTAACAAGAAAACCAAAAATAAAAGTCCTGAAAGATTGAGATAAAATAATAGAGGAAATGCAATTTTTTGAAAATAAGAAAGACAGTGAAATAATTTTCAAAGTATATGATTCAGTAAAATAGAACAAGAACATCAAAATACATCTGAAAAAAAAGTAAAGGGATGAGTAAGGATGAGAGATTTAACAACACTTAAAACATGTTACATCAATGAAACCAAAAGGTGATACTTTTAAAATTACAGTAACATTCAGTAAGTCTGATCAGAAATGAATGAGATAGCCAGGTGTGATAGCATACTTTTAATCCCAATAATTTGGGAAGCTGAGGCAGAATGATTGCAAGTTTGAGGCCAGCCTGGGCAACTTAGACCTTGTCTCCAAAAAGAGAGAGAAATGTTAAAATATACAAAATCAGAATTATGATGTAATTAAAAATACAGAGGAAGGGTGTTTTATTATGAAAGTACTGCATACAACATAACAAGCTGAAAATCTGTACAGTTTTCTCTTGCTGACAAAAATTAACACAAATTTAGGTAGTTTGGTAATATAGATTCACTGTTTAATAGAGATGTAGGTCAGATTCTGACAAAGGTCTCACCAGGCTAAAACCCAGGTATCAGAAGGCTCTAGAGGAGAATCTGTTCTCTGGTTTATTTGCAGTGTTGGCAGAATTCAATTTCTTCTAAGTATGCAACCCATTTCCTTGCTGACTGTCAACTGAGGACCATCTCCAGCTTCCAGAGGATGCCACGTTTCTTGGTTTGTGGCCCTTTTTCTCCATCTACAAAGCCAGTAATGCCAAGTCCGATTCTTTTCATGGTTGAGCTGTCTCCTGTTTCTTCTTCAGTACATCTCTTTGAGTTATTCTTCTGTCCTTATTCTCCCTTTTTATGGATTCATGGATTAAACTGACAATCATGATAACCCAAGATTTTCTCTCCATCTCAAGGTCCTGAATCAGACCTGCAAAGACTCTTGCTGTGCAAAGTTACATATTCAGAGGCTCTGAAAATTAAGGGCACAAGCATTATTCTGTCATGTACGTGGCTTTTTAAAGGAAGACATGATCCAGTAAAATTGACCCTGGAAAACCTTAACAGAGGAACAGACAGAAAAATCCAAAAAATAAGATCATCATTGTAATGCCTTTAAAAAGTCACTAATTTCAGGAAGTTTTGTAGATATCTTACCCAAACTTCACAAGAATAGATGAATTTAGTTAAAGTAACTTAGAAAAATAACAAATTTTTTCATTTCCTTTTGTGAAAAAGTCATGTTCTTATGAATCAAAATGCTCTGGCTTCTTAGGTTTATCTTTTGTTCTGTGGACTTTTAAAAGTAATTTGGCATTCAGAGCTGAGCAAACTTTCCTGTTAGTTTAGCTCTATCTTCCACCACCTCTAGAGGCAGTAAAACCATTGGCTTAAGGAAGAGAGGAGCAATGAGAAATTTATAAAAGAAAAAAAGAATAATTTATATAAAGTACCTAAATTTTATCTCAATATTCATCTTAGGGAAAGACATGCCTTCTTAAGCAGGACTTTAAAAACAGAAGCCATGAGAGGAAACACACACACACACACACACACACACTCATTTCCAAATTTTAGAAGGAAACTCCAAACTATTTTTGAAAAGTAAAATAAGCAGAGACAATTCACACAGGGCCTTGAAACAGTCTATAAATAATTATAAAGGGTACCCAGCCTCACTGGTTATCTGAAAACTTTAAGCTAGCACAGTGAAGTCCCCCCCTCAATCCACTTAGCCAAATAAATAAGTAGATGAATAGATAATATATAATTATATATAATTATCATGTCATGTTATATTTACACATAAACACACACATACATAAAATATCATATTCAGTCTGCAAAGATGATGGACATTAAGATTTCTTAGCTGGCTTATAATTTGTCAAAATCCTAGGAGATGACAATCTAGAATCATTTAAAATTCACATATACTTAGGTATAGCATTCACACTCATATAAACTTACCTTTTAGAAATAAGCAACTGCCTAAAGATGTACCTCTCTTGCCAAGTGTGGTGACACACACATGTATAATTCCAGCAACTCAGGAAAGTAAGGTAGGAGGATTGCAAGTTCAAGGCCAGCCTGGACATCTTAGTGAGACCCTGTCTTAAAATGAAACATAAAGAATGTTGGGGATACAGCTCAGTGGTAGAGTGCCCCTGGGTTCAATCCCCAGCATTGAAAACAGACAAATTAGGATAGTCACAGATAAATAAAAGCTTAGAGTATTCATTATTAGCAAATCTGCCATAGTGAAGGAAATCCTTCAACTAAAACAACAGAATGCTAGATGTAAATTAAAATTTGCATGAAGATAAAGAATATTAATAAAAGTAACTAGGGAATTATAAAAGACAATTTAAAAAGTTTTTTTACTTATCTGATATTGTTAATATCACAACACTAACCAAAATTAATAAATATTTTTCAAAAATCCTAGTACTTTTGGGGCAAAAAAAAAAAACAACTCATCCTAAAATTCATAGGAAATGCAAAGCACCCCTCCCCCAAAACAATCTTGAAAAAGAACAGAGATCAAGAATTCACATATCTTGATTTCAAAATTGATTATATAGCTATAGTAATCCATATCCTGTGATACTAGCATAAAGGTATACGTATATAGTATAGAAATAAATGTTTATTTTTTGTGGTAAACTGGTTTTCAGCCAGGGTTCTCAAACCATCCAAAATGCAATCTGTTTTTCAAATGGTGCTGGGGAAACTGGAAATGCACACATGAAAGAACAAAGTTCCAAATACCATATACAAAAATGGACTGTAGAGTTAAACGTAAGAATTATAACTAGAACTAGAAGAAAACTTAGGAGTAAATCTTCATGATCTTGGACTAGGCAGTGGTATCTTAGATGTAAATACAAGCAAGAAAAGAAAAAAAAAAAAACAGGGAAATGGGATTTCATCCAATTGAAACTTAGGATTCAAAGGACAATATTAAAGTAAAAACAAAGCACAGAATGGGAGAATTTTTTTAAAATCACATATTTGATAAGGAACTTAAACCTCAGTGATAAGGACAAATACCTCAATTTCTAAAATGGATAAAAGATTGGAATAAATATTTCTCCAAAGAACATATGCCAGTGTCTAATAAGCACATCATTAGTAATTGGGAAATTGCAAATCAAATCACAATGAGATACTATTTCACACCCGCTGGGATGGCTAAATTAAAAAGACAACTGGTAATGAGTGTTGACAAAGATGTGAAGAAGTTAGAATCCTTATACAATGCTGATGAAAATATAAAAAGGTGTAGCCAGATTTTAAAGAGTTTGGCAGTTTCTCGTAGAGTTGCCATATTGATTTAGTAGTTTCACTCCTAGGTGTCTTCCTCAGAGAGGTGATAACACAGCTCCACACAAAAACTTACATACCAGTATTCATAGCAGTACTATGCATTATAGCCAAGAAACAGATATAAGCAGTCCATCAGCTGATTAATGAATCAACCAAATATGGTATATTATTTGGCAATAAAAAGGAAAGTGAAGTCCTGGTACATGCCATTACAAGAGTGAACCTCGAAAATATATGTGGTCACAGAGGGCAATATATTATATTATTCAATTTTATGACATGTTCAGAAAAGGCAAAAAAGAGGAAGTAGATTAATGGTTGCCAAGGATTATGGGAAGGGGGAATAATTGCTAATGAGCATAGAGTTTAATTTTGGGGTTATGAAATTGTTCTAAAATTAGTGGTAATGGTCATGTGTCTCTATACTAAAAATTATTGAAATATACACTTTTTAAAAGGCAGATGTAAATCTGTTATTTCTTAAAAGGTAGCTTTCATATTTAATCTATTTGCAGTGAGAATATATTTGTGTGTTAATGGTATAAAATACTAGGTGGTTCCTGAGATTTTTTTTTTTTTTTTTTCGAGGTGGGGGGGTATGCTGGGGATTGAACTCAGGGCTTTATGCATTCAACTGAGCTATATCCCCAGCCCTCCTGACATACTTTTTATCTCAGTGTTCTCAGACCCTAGGCTGTAGAGATTATTGCAATGAACATGTAACACAGAGAAGTTAAGGCCTATAGCCCTGGAGGTAGGTGGGAGACATGGAGTCAGAGTAAGGAAGGGAAAAAGTGAAGGCCAGGGTAGAATTTTCATATTCTAGTTCTGACATAAGAATAAAATGCTTCTAGACAATGGGCCCTGTTCTTCCCTGTCCTTTCCTAACCCAAAGGTCCTCCACTATCTTTGAAGGCTCAGCTCTGGTATCACTTATTAACAGTTTTGATTCTTCAGGAAGCTGCCCCTGAGATGGAGTTAGGAGTACAAAGAGTGTAATTGGGAATAACATTGGTGAAAGAAAAGAGGAGAAAACAGGACTGGGCAGAGGGAGTGTCAGACTATAATGCAGACCTACCACATGTCTCCATCAACTGGATAGGGAAATCTGCACCTAAGGTTTCCTACCAGAAGAGTTCTGTGCTGGGTGGAACTGGGTGGTCCTAGCTTCCAGTCACTAGCTAGGAGCCACACTGAGAAGAGCATGGATTTGGTTCAAAATCTAGGTCCTAGACAACCTAACAGCTAGAGGCAGTCAGCTAACTGTATTTCTTGAGGCAGCAAATGTTTCCTTAAAGGGGACATAGTAGCACTTCCAAGTCTGTCACCCCTCTGTGTGAAATGTGTCTTGACTCTCTCCTCTCAGCCAAGGGAGAGGCAGTTGCTCTCTCCTGAGAAAGAACATTCTTTCATCATTCCTGGTTTATCATTTGTCCCCTTGTCCCTAAATTCTGAACTCTTGGTAGATAAACTTGGTCTGAACCCCTAGTATCTAATACAGAGGAGGCTTCCATGGGCTAGCCTTGAGACCAGGTACAGAAGACTAGGAGTACATAATTATTTGCCACTTTCTGTCCCTTACTTTTAAACCTCCACATTCCCGAGGGGACCCGTTTTTGTTTTGTTTTTTATCATGATCAATTTTATTTTTTTAATATATTTTATTTTTATTTTGTTTTAATTAGTTACACATGACAGTACGATGACCTTGACATATCATACATTTGAATCAGATGGGATATAATTTCTCATTTTTCTGAGTGTACAGGTTGCAGAATCACATTGGTCATGCAGTCACATATATACACACAGTAATAGTAATGTCTGTTTCATTCTACTATCCTTCCTATCCTCCCAACCCCTCCCCTCCCATCACTTCTCTCTACCTAATCTAAGGTAACGCTATTCTCTTTCTTTCTTTCTTTCTCACATCTTTATACATGTGTTTTGTTTAATGATGAGGGTCTTCTTCCACCATCCATGTAATTCCCCTTCTCCCTCCCTTTATTTCCCACCCCTCTTCCCTGTGCAAAGGTACTCTTCTTCCCCTGCCCTTCCTCCCTACCCCATTTTGAGTCACCCCAAGGGACCCATTTGGGGTTCTAACCCCTTTTTCTCTGTGCCCTTCACATCTGTTGAGGACCTCATGGCTTAAATACAGTCTATATGTCATATGCCAGTCTTTCAAATTTATCTCACTAGCCCATCCTTGTCCCCTAAAAGCCAGATTCATTCCTTACTCATAAGGAATTCCTTACTCTTTATTTTGAATATATGATTAGGTATCCCAGCCCAACAGGTCTACAAGTGAACTACTGATTTTATTGCTAAAACCTTCCTCCTCCATTAATAAGTAGCAACTCTACTATACTTCTTGCTTAGATCAAAAAGTTGAAGTTAAACTTGCCTCCTTTCTTCCTCTTGTACCCTTAACAAATCCAGTCAGTTTTGTCCCGAATCTGAACACTTCTTTCCACTAAGCTGTGATTAGTGTTGGTACCTGAAGTAGCAAAAATTGGTTTCCTTGATTTTTGCCTTTGTCTCCCTTTCTCTTGTCTCCCCAATTCTATTCTCAACACATCAGCCAAAATGATTCTTTTAAAATATAAGTCAAGTCATGTCACTCCTCTCCTAAATCCTACAGTGATGTTCCATGGCTTCCATTCTCATAGTAAAGGTGGTTGCATTGTCCACAAATCCACACCTATTCTGATCCCCTACTTCCTCCCAACCCTCACCTCCTATCTATCCCTGTCACTCTTAGCTTTAGCCACACTGGCCACTTTGTTGTTCCTTGCCCAAAGTTCTGCCTTGGGGCCTTTGCTATTATTTCATATGTTATACAAAGCTGGTACTTCACTTTTCTTCAAGTTTCTGTCCAGATGTCATTGTACCTCAATTCTTAGTGACACCTTCCTTGATTGACCATTCTATTTAAAATTGCATCACCTTCCTCTAGCACTCACATCTCCTTTGATTTGTTTCTGAGAGCACTTACTACCATATAAAATTATATCTGTTTTACTAATATATTTGACCATGTCCCCTCACTTAAAAAGTAAACTCTAAAAGGGGTAAGATTTTTGAAAGTTGTAGTTTCTCCTCTCTTCCAGTAGCCATTAAGCATCTGACACTTACTAGGCCTTCAGTTGCTAATGGGCTAGGTCATTAATAAGTTCCTTTACTGTCCTATGAGAGTATTCCCATTGTGCAATTATGGTGGCCTTCTACACCAACCCACATTCTCAGTGGGACATACTAGAGCCATTGTTCATGTCTGAGGGAGCTCTCTGGGTCCAGGTTCTCTCAGTGAAGAAAGGCATTGCAGGGGAACACAGACACATTTATACTAACAAGGGCACAATCTAGAAAGAGGTCCTATGAACCAGACTGTCCCATTTCCTGTTGTATATAACCAGTAGTCCATATATATGTTCTGCAATCAAGAAAAGGAAAAGAGTCTCTTCTAAAAAACTTTGGTGAAAATTGTGTATTTTTTTAATCTTACTAATGTACAGTATAATAGGTTTTGTTTCTATAGTTAAGGATTTATTCCATTAGTGAGGAGAAAATTAATTTAACCACTGATTTATAGTTTTTCGATTTTTAAGTTTTAAAAAATATTATATGCATGAACTGTGTAGCACAGATTACATACAGGAAACTATACTGGTACTTCATTGTTTTAAAAATGGGTAGTTATGCCAGTCACAGTGGTCTATGCCTATAATCCCAGCAACTCTGGAAGTTGAGACAGGAGGATCTCAAGTTCAAAGCCAGCCTCAAAAGTGAGGTGCTAAACAATTCAGTGAGACACCCTGTTTCTAAATGAAATACAAAATAGGGCTAAGGGTGTGTCTCAGTGATCAAGTGCCCCTGAGTTCAATCCCCAGTACCAAAAAAGAAAAATTGGCAGTTACTCTGATACATAAAAATGCCATTTGAAAATTCCACAGCATCTTTATGTTGAGTTTGTGGTGTCATAATTGACCATATATCAAAAGTGGTAGATTCAATAGTTTACTGAAAGAGTCGAGTTTCATTATTGCTACTTAATTTCTTTTACAGGGCAAAATTCTAAAAACATCAGTTCATCTCCAAGCATTGAGAGTTTGCCTGGAGGAAGAGAATTCACTGGCTCCCCACCTTCATCTGCTACTAAAAAAGATTCCTTTTTTAGCAACATCTCCCGGTCCCGCTCACACAGCAAAACTATGGGCAGGAAAGAATCTGTAAGTATTTGAAGACCCTTTATTTGGTTTTTATTCTTCATTTTCCTCTAGACTATTGCATTTACAAAAGCTCCCCTGGTGCCCATTTTTATAAAGCTCTTATAACTTTCATGAACTAAAACAAATTATTTTATCAAAAGTATCTTAGTTTTAGTAGTATAATTTAGTAATATTTTAAGGCTATGTTCTTTATTAGCAGGGGGAAAGGTAGCATTATTAAAAATGAATTTAATCTTTCCCAAATCCCTGGACTGTCCTTCTGTCCTCTGCAAAATGCATTTTTGTCAAAACCCATTTTTTTTCTGAAATTTAACAAATAACATTATATCAGTGAGAGATTATGACATTTGAAATAAACCAAGCTAATTTTTCCATTTTAAGTATTTCTTAAAAAGTAAAAATAATTATCTTACCATTTGTTTCTAAAAAGCTATAAACTACATTTAAGTTATAGTGTTTTGATAGTTGCTCTGTAAGATCCATTGTATACATTTCCCAATAGGACATATCTAAAGCATATCAACTGCTTTAAAAATTTTGTTTTGTAGGCAGGGGCTGGGGCTCAGCGGTAGCACACCTGCCTGGCAAGTGTGAAGCACTTGGTTGGATTCTCAGCACCACATATTAATAAATAAATAAAGGTCTATCAACAACTAAAACATATTTTTTAAAAAATCTGGTAGTATCTGAAATCTTTATAGAATAACTTTATAAAACTTTGTTTAACCACATTTTATGGCTAGTTCAACACCTGATATACTAATATGAACTCGTATGCTCACTTTAAGATGAAACATTGTAATAGTAATACAGGATCTAGCTATAACTGGAACAGACCTAAATTTGGGGGCAAAATGAACTACAAAACCTTACAGGGATGATAATTCAGAGTATATAGAATAAATAATATGGTTTCTATCTTTGTGATTTTGGATGTCCTTGAGTAAGATAATCAGCTTCCTGGTATTTCAACTACTACATCTGCAAATTAAATAATATATAGTTATACATCACATAATGATGGGGCTGTTCTGAGAAATACATTATTAGGCCATTCCATTGTTCTGTGAACATCATTGAATGTACTTATATCATCTAAATATCTATGATATCACTGACATAATCCTATGGGATCACTGGGGTTCGTCATTGACCAAAACATTATTTTGCAGCATATGACTGTACTTTGCTCTCTGAAGGGAAGAGTTCACTGCATGCTGTCTTCAGATCCCTTTTATTTAGAAACTGTAATTCTATAATTTAAAAAACAGCACAATAGAACAGTTTTGTTTAAAGATGGCACCTTTAGTGTGACCAATTTAACTCTGCTCCCTTGTAAAACTCCAGCCTAAGGAAAATAAGGGTAAAGATTAACCCTGAAAGAATAAGAAAACAAAAGAGAAGACAGCAGAAAAAAAAAAAAAAAAAAAAAAAAAAATTTGTTTAATGTAAAGCAGATAGCAGTTGGTAACCAAGTACTAAGTCAGTAAGTAAAACCCAAGAAGAAAGTGCATTTAGGTTGTGAAATCCTCCAGGAACTCAGGAACTGAGAATGAGGATAAAAAGAGAACTGAAGGGATGATAATTCATGGAAGTATTTAAAGAATCCAGTTTCTTTCCCCACTTAAGTAGAAGACCAGAAGTCTCATTTCCAGAGAAGCATAAAACAGAGCATCAGGCACATTCACTATGGAACTACCCTACTGGAAAAGGGGTGATGAATATACTTGAGTCCTAAAGTTTGAAGATACCATGCCACCACCCACACATGCACACAGAGGCTCCTCCTGTTGCTTCCCTGAGCACCAATATGCTCAACTCTTCAAGCAGAATATTGGAAGAGTTTTCTTTAGGCACACACACAGATGGGGTGTGTACAAACTGTATGTTTACATGAGGAGAGAGCAGGAAGGTGGTGGTCAGTAGAACTAAATCTCCTTCCATAGTGGGAAAACAGTGGAGAAAAATTTAAAAGTAACAATACAAACTAACAAAAAAAACCCAAACAAACAAACAAAAAACTGAAAGAGGTTGCTTCTGGGAACAGGAAGTGGAAGGTAGTGTTGTGGGAACTGTCTTTCATAACAGGCCCTGTAGAACCATTTGACTCTTCAGTGTTACACAGGTGACTTAGATTTAAAATAATAACTAAAAATTACAACAAAAATAGAATGCATTGGCATGATAAATTAGAAGAGCTGTCTGTATGAAGAATCATGTATGTGAAGAGCCAAAATAAAGGAATAACAAATGAGAAAGGCATATGGAGACATGTTTCATTTGCATTCTATTATATTTTTGGTAGCATATGGATTAGTCTACAACATTAATTAATTACATCTCTTGATGGTGATATTTTAACATAAAACTGAGAAGTTGAACAAAAATAGAAATAGGGTAACCAAGAGACAGAATGGAAGTGATCATTCAAAATTTAATGTTTCCTAACCTGTGGGGAGAAAGTAGGCAGAAATTTTTAAGAGAAAGTTCATGGTTTTTAAAGTAATACAGTAGTTTTATTATTTTATGAAATAGCGTGTGGTAGTCAGTTCTCTTTGTCATCTCTTGCTAGGATTATACCTCCTTGTCCCCTGTGATCTGTCAAAGTCATGTGACTAGTTTTGTCCAGTGAATTGTGAGTGGAAGTGATACACATGTATTGCCACTGCAAAAGCCTCCACTACTCAAATTTTCTCAGGCACAAAGAGCAGAGTCTTCCTGTCAGCCCAGGAAGTACATACATGAAATATGCATGAAATATGCTTTGATTGATGTAAGCTTTGATTGATGGTTATCACAGCCTAACAGTGCATAGCTGGAAAATGCTCAGGCCCACAGCTGGCAATCATTCTCCCATGGGAGTGATGAACTACTTAACTGACATAGGAGTAGTCTCAGTGTCACCAAGCCTGATTAGGTACCCACCATCCTTGCACCCACTTTGCTTTTATTTCCAGCTCAGTTTGGTGTGAAGAAGGGGTAGTGTCCTTGAAAAAGCTCAAGATAGTTTTTTATTAAGTCATTATCATCAGTTTATCACACCAGCAACTGGTCAGAAATTGAAACAAGATACCTGGAATTAAACTATACGATGCTTTTCAGATTTCAAGATTCCATTAATCTTTTAAAGCAGTCTAGCATCAAGAGTGTTGATGTCAATTATCAAAAAGTTACAATAGCAGTTGAAAACTGACATAAAACCAAAAATAACCTAGTAATAGCTATCATCCCAAGTGTGGTGAAATCTGCTTATAATGGTATTTTGAGAAATGATTTTCAAAATCAATACAGGTGCAACATATCCTGGATGAGCATCACATTATATCGCAGAACTTTTTCCCTCTTTGTATCGCCTGCATGTGTACCATGTAAAGCCCTTTTGTAATCTGCAGGCTATCTTCTTTAGATAAAGATACATCTGGCCATATGAGAGGGCCGTATTTAACTAAAATTCTAAAGAGGTAACAGATTAAGCTTTGTGCAGGTGTTTATAAAAGACATCATTAAACTTCTTTACTGAACTGTGAACAAAGTAGAAAGTTTTAAAAATTGGCCTCACTTCACTACCCATCATACCATGGTTTTGAAGATTGGTATTTATTCATGAAGTCAGTTTTCTTTCTGTCTTATTTCTCAAAAGAGCCTTTAAGTCTTACCTAATTCAAACTACGTTTTAGTTAAGCTCATTTGTCTTGAAGAAAAGTGGAAAATGTTGATACTTTTAATATTTTATGCTTTATTTTACATGACAAGTGTCATCCAGTACTCAAGTTTCCTAGAAATGTGCTTTTTAGTTGGTCATTTATCAAATAAATTTTTAGTCATGTTCTATGATTGTTGCTAAATTATTTTCTAATGGTATCTTTGCTGTGGTTAAAGGATAGGGAAGATAATGAATATAAGGAAAACTCTAAAAGTGACTTATGTGAATAAATTCTAATATTTTTAAAAAAGGATTATTTTTTTTAGTTCCTGAAGAACTGCAAGACGTTTTGCTATGTTTATGATAATTATATATATCAATCTCCAAAAACCTGAAAATATCCATGATTCAGAATTCTCGAGAAAGGACAGAAAAATCAAAAGCTTCCTGAGCTAGATATCCCTACCTAAGACAGGATGCATAATGATAAACCTACCACCAAGGGTTCATAGTGCTTCTGAGGGGCTCACCCCATGTGTTTATAACCCCTGTATTCACACCTCTTTGCCCCTTAGTATACATACACCATGGTCATATTAATAGGACTTAATCTTATAATATTCTTTGGTCTATTCTTTATCATGACAGAATAACAAAAAGTATCAGGTGAATGAAAAAAAAGTGGATTCTTATTTGCCTATGGAAGTAGAGACAACTTGAACATTACCTAATCTACTTCTTGCCTTATTTTTTTTTATTGGTTGTTCAAAACATTACAAAGCTCTTGACATCATATTTCATACTTTAGATTCAAGTGGGTTATGAACTCCCATTTTTACCCCGTCTACACATTGCAGAATCACATCGGTTACACATCCACATTTTTACATAATGCCATATTAGTAACTGTTGTATTCTGCTACCTTTCCTATCCTCTACTATCCCCCCTCCCCTCCCCTCCTATCTTCTCTCTCTATTCCATCTGCTGTAATTTAATTCTCTCCCTTTTTTTTTGTATTTTTTCCCTTTCACCCCACAACCTCTTATATGTAATTTTGTATAACAATGAGGGTCTCCTTCCATTTCCATGCAATTTCCCTTTTCTCTCCCTTTCCCTCCCACCTCATGTCTCTGTTTAATATTAATCTTTTCCTCTTGCTCTTCCTCCCTGCTCTGTTCTTAGTTGCTCTCATTATATCAAAGAAGACATTTGGCATTTGTTTTTTAGGGATTGGCTAGCTTCACTTAGCATAATCTGCTCTAATGCCATCCATTTCCCTGCAAATTCCATGATTTTGTCATTTTTTAGTGCTACGTAATACTCCATTGTGTATAAATGCCACATTTTTTTTTATCC